CTGGGCGTGCTTCCCCCGAAGGTCGCTAGAGGCTGGAGGCAGCTTTTTTACTCCAGTTGGATTAGAGTTGCGTTTGTAAGAACGGGGCGTTTATTTTAGAAACGAGCGAAGTTTCCCAGTGACTTTGCTGCAGCCGTGGTGGTTTTCCCAGCCGTGTGCGGCTGCCAGCCCTGTGCTGGGAGTAGTAGAAAGCAGAGCTGTTATCAAGCGGCCCCTTATCGCTTTGATAATGGGTGACTGTGCCAGGCCCCACCCGCGCCGGCTGGGCGCTGGTGGCAGGAGCCAAGAAAAGGCCCTGATGCCCTTTTCCACAAGTGGCTCCCTGCAGGGATCATCCGCGTTCGTGTTTCCCACCCGGTTTACTGTGGGGTGAAGGCAGCGAGGTGCTCTGAAGAAGGCACCGCTGGGACCAGCACGGCACAGGTCGGGCTGTTACATCCACATGGGGACTGCGGCACCATTATTTTTTATTTTTGAGACTCTTAAGCCCCCTGTGAGAAGAGCATCCTGCTCCGTTAGGGGAGATGGGGAACCTTTTCTTACAAGCAGTAGATGACCCTAAAGCCATCCCATGGGGAACACTGAGGTTCTCTTTGAACTCACCCAAGCTGAGCTGCAGTTGTTGGCCGAGTGCTTTCAGATCAGGGTGGGAGCTGAGGAGCACACTCGTGTTTTGGGTGTCTGGGGTTAATGTGTTGCCACTGATTTTCAGTACAATTTCTTACTGAAGTCGGTGCCTGCTCAGTGCTGGTGCCATGGCTTAACCCAGCTGGCTGCACACTCAGTTTTGCCAAGTTACAATTCAAGAAACAGATCATTGTCATATTGTGGAAAAGAAAAAAAAATCTAATGAGGACACGGAGTAATGAAGGGCCTTCATCAGCCTTTTGCATGGTCTTGACCCTTACAAGGACAGCAAGAGCCAGTTGAATGACCTGATTCAGCAAAGCACTTCTGAGGACTTGCTGAACTTGGAGCACATGACTGCTGCAGTCCTGCTGCCTAAAGCTGAGCGTGTGCTCAGGAGCTTTGTGGGATGGAGGTGGGGGTGAGCAGGATCATGGATCTGCTGCTGAGCCACTTGTGTGCCGAGGGCTTTATTGGGAGGGACCAGAATTTGGTGGCTTATTGGCTGAAGCCAGCCTGGCTCTGGTGTCAGCCTTCATGGGCCAAGAGAGGAGCATCTTTTCATCACCCAACACCCTCTTTCAGTAGTTGTGTGTTTGGGGAGCTCTTGTTAGGTCCATGTGTGTTGGAGCCGTGGTTGGAAGGTTGTCTCCCAAGGCAGTTGATGGAAACCTTGTTCTTTGGGAAGCACCATCATGATTTGTGTGGTTCAAACTGGGTGTCCAGGCATGGATATGGGACAGGGGTGTAGGGGACACTTGCAGCGTTTTCAGCAGTAAAGCCCAGTTTGAATGGTCAAGGTGGAACCCCCCCATTCCTCAAAAATTGGGAAAACTCTTGGTCTCCAGTTGCTTCCAAGTGTTTTTTTTAACCTTGGGAGAGTTCCTACCCCAGAAGAGAAAGCGGGAGGGTTTGTTGATAAACTGAACAGAGCACTAACCTACAGTTTTGTTTTTCCAGAGTCTCCACCACCTCCCTACTCTCGGCTGTCTCCTAATGATGAGCAAAAGCCACTGGGTACGTGTTTTCCCTCTTTTGATGTCCCGAGAACTCTTTCATGGTGCAGTCCCGGTGTTGGTTCTGAGACAGCCCTCCCTGGCACGTCAGGCAAAAGCCAACAAGTTGGGATTTTATGGCTCCTCATTATTTCTGAGCAAGCATCACCTGACAGGCTTTAAGAAGTAAATGGATGTCAGTTTATCCTCCCAAATTACCATGTAGACACATGCATATTTTCCAAAATAATATGAAGCTCTATTTTTAATGAAGGCGTAATGAAAGGTTACCAGACGTCATGTTTTGTCTGCGTGTGTAATCTGTGGGATGATGGAGCAGAGGGGGAGTGGGAGCTCCTGGGTGCCATTTCCATAAAGTCCTGGCTGCTCTGCACCTTGGAGGAACCAGCTCTTACCTTTCCTCTGCTCATTACAATGAGATGTAAAGCCTTTGAAACTCAGCACCGTGTAATTTCTGAGTGGGGTATGACTTTTCCTGGTGAATTGTGGGAGGTTTTCAAAGCAAAGGTAGTGAAAGTGACTGGGGTGGGTACCTGGGCACAGAGTGAAGGGTGCTGGGGAGCCTGGCAGCCTTGGATCCTGGTCCTATGTGCTGGACGTTGGCTTGGAGATGTTTCAAGTTGGCATCACTGCATCCTGCCCATCTTTCTCAGTGCCTGCTTCTTGCTCAGTTAAATGGGAAGCAAAGATGTGGGAAAGAAGGGAGTAATGCCCTGTCCCATGTGGGTTTTTTGCTGGGATCAGTGCAGCTGTGGGATTTCTCCCTTCATCTGTGGCCGGTGCCTCTGACTCCTGGGCGTAGTGACCCAGGTGAACCACTCTTGCTCCCCATCAGGGAGGAGGCAGACAGGGTTTGGCAGGGCTATAGGAATGGGACAGTGTTCCTGCCTGTCCCACCCAGCCCCGGGGGAAGGCGGGAGCTGTCCTGTGCCAAAGGTGAGTCCCTGCCCTGGCGTCTCCCTGCGGTGCAGCCACATGGGCACCGTGCCTGTCGGAGGGACTGGTGCCTTCATCACCACGGGGCCGTGACCTGGGTGTCCTGCAAAGCCAAACTGGCTGCTTGTGGGATTTTTTTTTTCCTATTTTTGTTAGGTGTGGAGGCAGAAAAAAAAAAAAAAGTTGTCCCTCCCTGCGCTCCCCCTTCCAAGTTAATTCCCTTTGGAAACTGCTTGTGCTGCAGGGAGAGATGATAGTGGGCAGCACGTGACTTTATTAAAACAACAGCCAGGGATTGAAATTTGCTTCACTGGCTTGTTTGATTGGAAAAATAATAGTTAATCTGTGAGCAAACAGTTGAGCACTTAATTAGAGGGGTGTAAGCAAGAGAGAATAACAAAGACTCTTAACTTGTTAAAACAAAGTTTCCTTCGCTTCAGCAAAGAGGAAGGAAGGAAGGAAGCAAGAATAAACAGCTTCAAGAATTTTAATGGTGATAATTAAGTATAGTAACTCTGACTTGTTTAGAGGCTTAATGTAACTTTATCCAGTAAGCACCAAGTTCCTACTTGTTTGATCAACTTAACTGGAGTTATTTTTGTGGTGGAGGCAGTTCAGAGTTTGCATTTGCGTGGTGGAGCTACAAAGTTAATCGTTGCTTTCTGGCTCAGTGGAGAGTTTCTCTCGGGGAGGTGGTGGGAAGCTGGAGAGCCACTGGTGCTCATGTAGCCCTGGCAAACACAGGAGGACTAAAAGTGCTTTTTTTTTTTTTTTTTCCCCAGATCTATCAGATTCCACGTTGTCTTACACTGAAACAGAGGCTACAAACTCGCCCAACGTCACGCCCGGAGATTTCTCAGGTTGGCAGATGTTTGCGCCTTCCCGCCCGTGTTGTCTGAGCTGGGAGCTGGGGCAGCACAGCAGGAGGGTGTGGGGGGTATGGTCCTGCTGTTGATTTTGTGGTCTTGATGTGAAAGGAGGGAGAAGAGAGCAGTTACTTCAGTTGGTTGGTCAGAGACACCAGCGCTCTGCGGGTTGTGATGAGGTGCCGTTCGTGGGACGAGCGGGGACGTTTGGGAAGTGGCCACGTGTGTCCTTTGTGGAAGCCACCTGGACCTCTCCCAGGCTCCAGGGCCATGGGCTGCTGTGGGGTGGGGCTGTACACCCTCCCCATTTCCATGGCAGGAGCAGTGAGGCCATTCCAAATGATGCTGCCTTGTGGTGGTTCTTGCCGGGTCCGTCCGGCTTGTGTTACCTGTTGGGCCCTGGCCCCGCGGTGCAATCCCTGCTGTCATGAGCAGGCTCCCAGCTATGGTGCCATTGAAGCTCCTGAACAAAGCTTGGCTTAATTAGGTCCTGTTTTTTGCTCTACCCCACCCCTGCAACCTTTCATTCATTTAATGGGGCTCTGTGAGGCCTGGGGTGGTTTTACTTGACAGCAGGTAGAGTTGGGGCTTTCCTTGGCTCCACGTTGGGCTCTGGCTGCAGTGATGGTTCCACATCTTTCTCCTTGGTGTCTCATCCCAGGCAGGGGGCTGACCATGTAGGAGATAGGAGGGGCCTGTCTACAGGTTTAATTTCTCTGGCTGGTTAATGGTCTGAGAGCTGAGATGAAGGAAGACAAACCTTGGTCCTGGTGGGGTCCCACATGCCTCCTTCAGCAACTGTGGTGGGGTAGGATTGGGCACCTCGGTGCCCAGTTGCCAGATTGCTGAGCACATGGATTGAATTTGCTGCTCTCTCTGGGGATGCTGGAAGTTGGTGGTGGTGGAGGGGACCACTGGGGCACTGGTCCCTTAGCTGTGGCTTTTCTCTTGGTGTTCTCCACCTGCAAGAGCTTATGGACAGTTTGTTGAGACCTGCGCCTTCCTTGGGACGTTCAGGCCGATCCCGACTCTGCAGCTCTCCAGAGAGCGTTCAGGCAGCAGTGCCGTGGCGTGGTGGCACATTTCCCTCCGGGGATTTTCCCTTCTCCTTCTCCTTTAAGGTCCTCCAGCCGTGGTGGGCCGGCGGTGCTGCCGCGTGCCGGATCCAGCCGTGCCGCCCGCCCGGCTTTTGTTGTGCTGCCAAGTGCCCATAGCAGGGGAACAATTGATAGCCAGGCCTTGGATCGTTCGGGCCTGTGCTGTAATAAATGGGTGTTTGCAATTCCTAACAAACATTCCCGGGGCTGGAAGCGCGTCCGTAAAGGCTCCCCGTGCCCGTGGCTTTTATCGTAACGTGATAATTGTCGTTAATTAGAGCGGCCGGGTTGGAGAACGGGGGGTTCCTGAGCATGGAGTGGCTCAGCTTCTCTCACGGCCGAGTCTTTATGGGACATCTGGTGGGTTTTCTGGAATAGAGGAGGGATTTTTAACTTTTCCTTGAACAATATAATGATAACATGTGACTGAGATTGTATGAAATCGGATCCCTCTGCTCCCCCTGTGCCGTTTCCAGTGGTGTAACTTTTAATAAGAGTCTGGGGTTGGGTGATTTATTTTTCCCCAGTGCTCATGATTGCTGAAAGAGGATAAGAGCTCTGCTGAATTAACCCATACGTGTCATCACAGGGAGGTAAAAGGGAAAAACCCACTTAGGCTCCAGTCTACCTGCCACATTTCAGTTTGTTTATTCTCCATTTCAACTTATTTAATAGGTCTGCTTGAAATGTAGGTCTGTGGAAATGGTACACAAAGCACGTGGTCTTCCCTTCCTCCTCTCGTGTACCAAAGGAGCTTGGTGTGCATTTAACTCCTCTTCCAAAAATAAGTACATTTTGGATCTTGCACCAAGCCACTACTATTTATTGCTCCAGCTTTGATCATCAAAAAGGCTTTTCCTACTAAAACCACAAAATTCAATTTTGGATAACAAAGAGAACCATTCTTCTTCTGTTGGTCCTTTACTTGATGAACTTCTAAACAGGAAGTTTTACCATGAAGGCAAAAGATGATCTCTGTCATATGTAGAAATTTTATAAAAAACCAAACTCTTTTTGAAGTAGAACCTTTCATGGTCATAATAACACTTTTAAGAGGAAAAGTCTTCAGTGAACTAGTAGGCTTGCTATGAAATTCTGAGGAACAGCCAGTGCTAACTGGAAGCACAGGTTGTGGATAGTTGGGTGGATGTGACCTGTGTGGTGACCTGGATCTATGGATGATACCTCAGAGCCCTCTTCATCTGAGGTTCAGAGTATTTGGGTCATGAAATGAAGTTGTCTGTTCAAGGATCAGTGTCCAGCCGCAGCATTTCCCTTGGATTAGGGATGCTCCTGTTTCCTGAGTGAGGTGCAGTGGCTTGGGAAGATCTGGGTTGCTGGGAAAAGGCACTTGGAGGTGTCTGACCCCGAAGTTTCCATCTCCTGAGCTCAAGCAGTGTCACATTCAGGCCCGTGAGAGTACAAAGAGGGGCTCCAGCTTTCCCTCATTAGATTTATTTCTGCCTGGGGAGCAGAGCTGAAGAAAACCTGCTGTTTTGGGGGTTGCATTCCTAACCCAAGTGGTTCCCTGTGCCTGTCCCCCAGGAGCTGGCAGACCCATGGCCCGTTTTGGCGTCCCCGCGGCTCCCAGCCGGAGCCGGGGAAATACCAGGGAAAGGGCAAAATCCAGCAAGGCAGGAACAAAAGCTCAGCCTCGTGACTCATAATTGGTGGAACATTTGTAGTAATTTTTTTTTTTCCCTTCCCCTCAGACTTGGCTCCTCCAGCACATGCCAAGAAGCTGCTGTACCCGTTAGACTTGCCAGGCTTGTAGAGGGATGTGCTGCTGCTGCGGGAACTGGTTTGGGATGGTGGGGACGTGCTGGAGCAGATGTTGTGGGCTTTGGGATTGCCTGCCTTCCCCTCAGTCCCATGGGGCTGTCCCTCACCATCCCTGGGAAGGACCCTCTCTTAAACACCATGGAATAGCCCCTCTCCTCTTGCACAGCACCTGGAAAAGCCCCATGAATTCCTGCCAGCAGCCACCAGAGTTCTTGGTAGTGGTGGCATTAAATTCTGGAAGTCCCAAGGACTGTGCAGGAGGGGAAGGGTTGAGCACAGGTAGGAGGACAAAAGGTGGTCTTGCAGCTTGGGATCCTCCTGCAGGTCTCTGTCCTGCCTTGGCCATCACCAGAGAAGGTGCTGGCTTATTTTTTCCAAAAATACTATTATTGTTTATTCTAAACTTTGAAATCATTTCACTTTCCCTGTGCTAAAACTCTGCTGGTGAACCCATTTATAGCTGAAAATGTGCATCCAAAAGAATAAAGGATGAGTTGGTTTGTTGGAGGAGGAATGAATTCTCTCCACATTCCGAAGCTGTGGGAAGTTGTTTCCCACCTGAAAGTGGAAGCACAGGTTGAGTCTATTCCCAGCAGCTCTGCTGAGGTCCAGAGGATGATGTGGCAATGAGCTCTGCTTGGTGGCTTAGTCTGATGCTGGTGGAGGATAATTGGGAATTAACAGAGAGAAGAAATCGAGTTACAGAATATTCTGAGTTGGAAGGGACCCACAAGGATCATAGAGTCCAACTCTTAAGTGAATTGTAAACAAAGAGACTGAATGGGCTGGAGCTTATTGAAATTATTTCTGATTTTTTTTTTTTTTTCAAGGCCTGGGGAGATGGAGAAGATTTTACAGGGCAGTGGTGGGATTGGGGGTGTTGGATTTGGGAAGCAGGGTACCTCCAGAGGGAGGAAGAAGGCAGGGACATGCCTGTCCATCCCAGCTGGTGACTCAGCCCTGCTGAAGTGATGCCACGGCTCCAAGCGAGAGCCAGAGGGTTTTTTCTGCTTCCAGCAATATTTAGGATGAACTTAAGGAAGCATATTTTAAAACCCACTGAATGGAGAAAGTGAACGTCTCTCTTCCTCTTCCCCCCCCAGAAATAACAGGCTGCAGGATTTATGCTACCAAGGAAATTTATGAAGATCCTGTGTGTTGGGAGTAGGAAAAAAAAAAGCCTATTAAATATGTCAGGCGGATACGTGTGGCAACTGGGCAAACATGGCCCTTTCCGGCCTGGGGAGAGATGGTGGAACTACCTGGGAGGAGAAGAAAAAAGAGATTTTTCTCATTAATAGGGCAGCAATTTCTTCTGGGGGGGGAAATGTTGGTTTTGTTACTTTTTGAGGATTGACTCTGTGTCCCACCGTGGGCTGGGAGCTGCAGGTTGGGTCTGACCCAGCAGCACCCTGGAGCCTTTTCAGCCTTTCTTCCTCCCGTCCTGCAGAAACAGATCCATTAAAAAGCAGGCAGAACATCTCTGTGCATCCAGTTTAATCACAGACAGATGTTTATTTGGGCCAGTGATGGTTTTAGTTTCTTTTCTCTTTCATTTTTAACTGTAAGCTCGCTGGCTTGTCTAACCCTGTGCAGTCTAGAACAATCAGGGTTTGGCTAAAACTTCTCCTGGTCGGAGGAACGAGCCTGTTGCCAAGAGCTACTTCTTTGATGCAAAAAAGTACATCCTGGAGGTGCTTTGTCAGATGTTTTTATATTAAACAGTTTTCCTCCATGATTTTAGTTTGCCAACGGGAAATAAAGGGCATCTATTTTTTCCAGAGTGCTTCAGAGAGTGTGGAGCCTTTACCCATGTGGCCATGGATGGCCTTGGATGTTGGAACCCCTGTGAGAGAGGGTCCTTCTGGATGTCTGGGGCAGCTTCAGAGCAATAACTTGCCTTCCCTGTGGGTTTGGTCATGTGCAGCTCCTGGCCCTGCCTGGGGCAGACATCAAAGGTCACTTCTCAAACCACAGGGTGAATCATGGAGTTAATCCCTGAAAGGGAAGGTGGGGAAGCTCTGGGAGACACATCCCTGGGCTTTCAGCACTCTCCCTTTCAGAGAGGTGCAGGTGTGCTCTTTTATTCCACAACAAAGTTCTTCCTGGGTTGAT